GGGAGGACTGGCTGACTCCAAAATAAAGTGCATTACAGTAATCCAGCCGAGATGTAATAAAGGCATGGATTACTGTTTCAAAGTGCTGTTGTGCAAGGAAAGGTTTCACCTTAGCCAGCTGTCTAATTTGGAAAAAGCTGGACTTCACTACAGAGCTAATTTGCCGATCCAATTTAAAATCACTGTCCATCTTAAAACCCAAGTTTGAGACTGTTGGCTTTAAAAAATCTGCCAAAGGGCCCAAGTCAACAGGGGGAGGTTTACAAAGGCCACTGGGACCAAACACCATCACTTCTGTTTTTTTCTCATTAAAATTTAAAAAGTTCAAGGCCATCCATTCTTTGATGTCTTCAAGACATGCCAGAAGTGGTGTGAGTGAGAAGGCATTTTTCTTTTTTAGCGGCACATATATCTGACTATCGTCAGCATAAAAGTGGAAAGAGATGCCATGCTTTCTCAGGATGGATCCCAGGGGCAGTAAATACAAAGAAAAAAGCAGGGGCCCTAAAATCGACCCCTGTGGAACCCCATACGGCAGTGGAGCAGAGCTGGATTCTGAGTTTCCAATGCTTACACTCATTCTTTGGTCTGCCAGATAAGATTTGAACCACTCCAGTGTGGTACCATAGATGCCCACTAGGTGGCGTAACCGAGCCACTAGGGTATTGTGGTCCACGGTGTCAAAAGCCGCTGTTAGGTCCAACATAACTCTGAGTCTGTTACTATGGTTCGCAGGTTTGTTTCATCTCAGCCTGAGGCTGATCGCCCGCTGAGCGTGTGGAAGGAAGGCGAGACATGGCGTGTCCTTTTGTGAATAAAGTTTTCGTGATGAGCGATAAGAACTTCTGCAACAGATATTAGGTTCGTTCAAGATGAGCCAGTGTTTCACAGATTCGATCACCAGCATGACAAAATTCAGAGTGAATAAACACCAGGAGGCGGAGGAGCATGCCAGTGGTGTGAGAAACAGTGTAATGCACCTAACTCGGTAAACTGACATTTGCATTACCTTGAAAGGGCTTTAATACGCTACAAAGACTTTACTGAGAAGAACTAAAGGACCTAAAAGTTTTTAAAGAGGTTTAAGATTATGAAATGGAGCCGCTGTGCTGATTGGGCTAAACGAACGCACCTGTCCCACTGAGCAATAGATGGATATTAGACGTCTAGTTATTTTTTAGACCAAATTTCAACCGTCTAGTTTCCGTCTATTTTTAGACGGAATTTAGACGTTGCACTTTAATCCATTATTCGTTAACTATTTATCAAAAAAAAAAACTGTAAGGTGCATAACTGATCTTCAAATACTAAGCTAAAATAATTATGATAGCCGTTGAGCGATATGCAGTATAGTATAGATATAGCTGAGATTTATACGTCTAAATCTCTACCGCATTTCAACGTCTAGATATAGACCGAATCTAGACAAATGAATTTAATCCATTATTCAATAGTTGTTTATTTAAAATAATAACTGCACGTTGCAGAACTGATCTCTAATTATTGGACTAAAATCATTTTCATAGCCATAATCGTTATAAGGTATAGTTTAGATGTAGACGTCTAATATCCCGAATTTCAACGTCTATAATTAGACCATGTTTTATATTTTTATTTTAATCTTAGGGGGAAAAAAAAACAATAATAATGTGATGGAATAGCCAGCTCTTTCTATGTGCAGTGCCCAACTACAGCTGTGGGAGGCAGCAATTGCTCGGTACACGGTGGCGGCCGGCAGCCACCGTGTATCGGTGGACCCCTGATTTACATACACGGTGGCGGCCGGCAGC